AGCCTTCTGGGCCGTAAAAGAAATCCCAGCCCTGCTCATTTGTTGAAGCTAGGGGGTTGAAGCTAGGGGGTTGACGGTCCAAGCTCACTGGTCAAGCGGTTTGTTTTTCCGTGGCTGTCTCCCTTCTCCTGTGCAGCCCCCTTGAGCCGAGTATCACAAGTACTTGCCGATCTGTCACTTTCTATACATATCCTTTGCTGTGGTGCCTGGTACAAACTTGTTGCTTGGGTCATGGCAATAGCTTCATCAAGATGCGCAAGGTGTTGGTGGCAACCCCTACTACCTGCGCTTCAAGTAAGCATGGTGCAAGGCCCAGAAAACGAGCCGTTTATCAACTTTCGGCTCACAACCACTGCCGGGCAGGTTGGCTCTTGCCTAGTTGCTTCCGCCGCAACTAAAGGACCGAGGAGGGCCTTTTCGTGGGCTTGAAATCTGAGAAGGACGCAATCATCAAAATATGAACGCTAGTTGAAGTCTCGGATAGTGGGATGCAGACACATTCAGCCCAAAAACTCTGTTTCAACATATTAAACCACAGTTACTCAAACATCCCTTTTAGGCTTCCTATGTGTCCCTTTCACGGTATCCATGGTTTGCCCACCCTACCCTTGGGCCTCTTTGGGTTGATTGTCGGAAACCACTGAATTTGGGGGACAAAACTAGGCAGGCGAAACCCGAAGGCGGGCCCAGCCGAAAGTCCAGTGCTGCAGACATGTTACTCCACTTGGCTGATATATGTGGCTCAAAATTGAACAGCTGGGGTTGCGCAGGTGTTCGTCTTTGTTTCCAAGCTGCCATTTTGGGTACATGTGTTTGAGACACAACCATGTGGCAAGCCTAAGATTGTTGTCATTGCCAACAGTCACTCTTCTTCAATGTCTGCTAAGCAACACATGCCAAAAGCAAATCAAAGCTGCTTCAGAGAAGAGAGCCCAGTCAAAACGGTTCATCGATTCATCTCAGGGCATTCTGCGATTGTTCGGCCAATACAATGCACAAGGAAGTTTACTCTGTTTGTCTTGGGCATCTCTCTAGCCAATGTACACATCCCATTGGCAACGTTTGCACATACACCTCGTCACTGTTTCTGCTGGCGTCTCAGCTATCAAGACGAGGAACAGCCTCTCATAGCTCAACACAGACCGAACCGCCTGGATACCTTTCAGAGACTGCGTGCAGCTCCTTTTTGCATCGCGCGTCAGCTTAACGCGGAGCAAGCAGCGGGGGTTTGCCTGATTGCTGCACAAGCAGAACAAAACCCATGTCAGAAGTCGATGAATTTGCACCTCTCTGGGCAACAAAAATGTTTGGGCCCACGGCATACGCACATCGTAGCTGCAAATCTGTGCCTCTTGGACCTCAGGATACTCGTTTTCGAACTCAAGCATTCTTGGGCCAACTGGGCTGACGGCTGAGAGCAGCTTGGGCGTTGGAGCACACTCGAAGCTGATCTCGACCTTCGTGTGAGCTTTCTTGGGGTCCCCTTTGGGTGCATTTTTTTACAGGAACCCAGCGGGAAAACCAGCATTTTGGGGAGGCCCTATACAAACTCACTCACACAAATGAATCTCTATACGTATTAATAATATATATATATATATATATGCTCAGGCCCCCCCCCCCCATGAACTACCTTTTGGACCATATATATATATATATATATACATATACATACATACACAATTGGCTCTAGCTCTCTGGACGTATCAGTCGTAGCATGAGTGTCAAAGCATCGGTCACCTGCATCCCGCCTGTCGGGGCTTATGGGCAGGAGAGCAGAAGTCACCATTGCCCATGATCTCAGCACGTGGTTGCTGTGCACCAATCATGAAGCAGTTCAGGCCATCAAGGAGCAGCCAAGACATCAGTGGATTCCTTCAACGTTACCGGCAAAAACAAAGTGCCCTCCAGTTCCTCCGCCATGCTAGATGGCTTTTCCGTACAAGCACAGTGGGCAAGGGCAACATCCCTCGACGAGCAAGAGGCCAAGCTCCGCGCCAGCTTGCTGTAGTCTGTCCTAGCCATGTGCATTGTACACTCCATCTGAGAGCGATGCACTTGAAGGCAAAGCGGACAAACCTCGCAGACCGTGTCCCGATCTTTGTTAGACTCCATCCAACCGTCCTGTGCTGTCCGTTCTCCCAGAGCGATGTTGCCCACTTGCCACCCTTCCCAAGCCTTAGCGGCAGGAGGCCAGGCTTGCAAACCCTATCAATGGGATAGGGATTTCTCTACTTCTGAGAGCTTCTCAATTTGGAACACCATAGTTGTGGCTCGTCCACATTCCCATCATCCTGCTGCGGATGGAACATCCGCTTCGCGCCAGTTGGTAGATGGTTTATCCCATTGTCATCCCAACTGGTGCAGGATTTGTCCATCCGTTGTGGCTTGGCTCGAATATTTTACTTTATTTTATGTTGGCTTCTTGTTTCCCAGGACCCCAAAGAGGTGCCGAGCCTCAAAAAACCAGCCACCCATGTTGGGCGTTCTCAAAGCGGCCCTTTAAAATGGCGGGGTTGCTTTTGGTTTCCCTCAAACAACTACACACCCATGTGAGAGCGAAAGCAACCTGAGTGCTTCGCGTAAACGTGCGCTTGCTCTTCAGGTCACGCTGAGTAACCTTGTCGAATATACAAACCTGCAGCATCGCGCGAATGGCACTACGCGAGGCATTGGAGCTAAGCGAGCCCGATGTCTTACTCCGATAATGAACGTGAGACGTCTCAGCCCCGGTGAGTGCTTCAGAATCCAGAAGCCAGAAACCCATCGCCTGACGGTTTGTTTGGGATGTAAGTGTGGATATTTGGGGACCCCTTGCACACCATTTTTGCAAACAACATGATTGAAGCCAAACCGGGCTGTTGAATTTGCACCAGGGCAACGCTGGTGTCTCTCTGTTTCTGTGTCCGTGAGTTTGTGCTTGCGTTTGTGAATTTGTGTCTGTGGTTGCGGGTGTGTTTCTTTACGTGCGTGCGTGCGTGCGTGCGTGCGTGCGTGCGTGCGTGCGTGCGTGCGTGCGTGCGTGCGTGCGTGCGTGCGTGCGTGCGTGCGTGCGTGCGTGCGTGCGTGCGAGCGTGCGTGCGTGCGTGCGTGCGTGCGTGCGTGCGTGCGAGCGTGCGTGCGTGCGTGCGTGCGTGCGTGCGTGCGTGCGTGCGTGCGTGCGTGCGTGCGTGCGTGCGTGCGTGCGTGCTGCGTGCGTGCGTGCGTGCGTGCGTGCGTGCGTGCGTGCGTGCGTGCGTGCGTGCGTGCGTGCGTGCGTGCGTGCGTGCGTGCGTGCGTTGGTGCGTGCGTGCGTGCGTGCGTGCGTGCGTGCGTGCGTGCGTGCGTGCGTGCGTGCGTGCGTGCGTGCGTGCGTGCGTGCGTGCGTGCGTGCGTGCGTGCGTGCGTGCGTGCGTGCGTGCGTGCGTGCGTGCGTGCGTGCGTGCGTGCGTTCGTGCGTGCGTGCGTGCGTGCGTGCGTGCGTGCGTGCGTGAGTGCGTGCGTGCGTGCGTGCGTGCGTGCGTGCGTGCGTGCGTGCGTGCGTGCGTGCGTGCGTGCGTGCGTGCGTGCGTGCGTGCGTGCGTGGTGCGTGCGTGCGTGCGTGCGTGCGTGCGTGCGTGCGTGCGTGCGTGCGTGCGTGCGTGCGTGCGTGCGTGCGTGCGTGCGTGCGTGCGTGCGTGCGTGCGTGCGTGCGTGCGTGCGTGCGTGCGTGCGTGCGTGCGGGCGTGCGTGCGTGCGTGCGTGCGTGCGGGCGTGCGTGCGTGCGTGCGTGCGTGCGTGCGGGCGTGCGTGCGTGCGTGCGTGCGTGCGTGCGTGCGTGCGTGCGTGCGTGCGTGCGTGCGTGCGTGCGTGCGTGCGTGCGTGCGTGCGTGCGTGCGTGCGTGCGTCGTGCGTGCGTGCGTGCGTGCGTGCGTGCGTGCGTGCGTGCGTGCGTGCGTGCGTGCGTGCGTGCGTGCGTGCGTGCGTGCGTGCGTGCGTGCGTGCGTGCGTGCGTGCGTGCGTGCGTGCGTGCGTGCGTGCGTGCGTGCGTGCGTGCGTGGGTGGGTGCGTGGGTGGGTGGGTGGGTGCGTGGGTGCGTGGGTGCGTGGGTGCGTGGGTGCGTGGGTGCGTGGGTGCGTGGGTGCGTGGGTGCGTGGGTGCGTGGGTGCGTGGGTGCGTGGGTGCGTGGGTGCGTGGGTGCGTGGGTGCGTGGGTGCGGGGGTGCGGGGGTGCGTGGGTGCGTGGGTGCGTGGGTGCGTGGGTGCGTGGGTGCGTGGGTGCGTGGGTGCGTGGGTGCGTGGGTGGGTGGGTGCGTGCGTGCGTGCGTGCGTGCGTGCGTGCGTGCGTGCGTGCGTGCGTGCGTGCGTGCGTGCGTGCGTGCGTGCGTGCGTGCGTGCGTGCGTGGGTGGCGTGCGTGCGTGCGTGCGTGCGTGCGTGCGTGCGTGCGTGCGTGGGTGGGTGGGTGCGTGCGTGCGTGCGTGCGTGCGTGCGTGCGTGCGTGCGTGCGTGCGTGCGTGCGTGCGTGCGTGCGTGCGTGCGTGCGTGCGTGCGTGCGTGCGTGCGTGGGTGGGTGGGGGGGTGGGTGGGTGTGTGTGTGTGTGTGTGTGTGTGTGTGTGTGTGTGTGTGTGTGTGTGTGTGTGTGTGTGTGTGTGTGTGTGTGTGTGTGTGTGTGTGTGTGTGTGTGTGTGTGTGTGTGTGTGTGTGTGTGTGTGTGTGTGTGTGTTT